ATGGGCCATTCTCTGAAGTAACAGGTTAGAATCAAGTTGATCTTGGTACCAGGCATTGGACACCTAATAGTTTGAAATATTACAGAATGTTTTCTGTCCTTTTTTCCTTCTTGCTTTCTCTATTCTGCTTTAAATTGTCTGAACTTCATTGTTCTGCTCAATAAAACAGCAGAGCTGGTCTCACGTTGCAGATAATAGCAGAGACAAGTCACAGCTTTCAGGCAGAGCTTGTCTTTGAGGGTTGCTTGATCTAGTTCAGTAGAGGAAGCTCTAGTTTTGTCTGCTTCAAAATCTGTATGTAATGGAGTCCAGAAACAGAGGACACAGCACGTTTTAACTTGAAAACAACCACTGTTGAAATATTATTGAAATTAAAACGCAATTATTATTATTAAATTAAAAGCAAATAGAGTCATGACACAGTACCAGCTTGCACAGTTCTTACTTCACACTTGACTGTCTCAAAGTTCAGGTATAGTGCAGGTGACAGTCATGTCTGTTATGTCATCTGGAGATCCTCCATCAAGCAGAAATACTTTGTTCTGGTTACTAGAGTTAAACAGACTGTCCTACCTCCAGGGGGCTGAGAACGGCAGTACTGACCTCCATGCATTGGTGTCCCTGCGTGGGCAGGTTTGTCTTTGTAGTGAGAATATTTCAAGATATTTGCTTTATTTTTGCTTTAAGAGGTGATAATTGTGACCAGTACCACTATTTCATCTTTGTTTTTATGGATACCACGATGTCTTGGTCTTTCCCTTTAGTCTTTGTTTCTGGGTTGATCTGTTGTATCTCACTGTTGCCCTCAGCTGCATACTCCTTCTTACCATGTTGGTCCAATGCTGATGACTGTGGACTACAGTAGAAAATCAGTAAATGGAAGCTTTTCCTACTTGTGTGCCTAAGCAGTTAGCTTGTCTCCTAGAAGGTGCAGTCAGCTTGCTGCTTTTCTTCATGATGTACCACCATCCTTTATACTGCTGTGTCATGTGTAGCTTCAGATCATTTGTGGAGAAAGTCTCATTCTGTTAACTTGAACAGTACTTTCTTCCTGTCCAAGCTTAGTTTCCTTCCTTGGTACTCCTCAGCTGATGTGTCAACAGACTTGAAGAAAAAGGGCATGGAGAAGTAAATTTTCTCTTTCCAAAACTGCTTTCTTTGCACTCAATTCTTAACCTAAGAGGTTTCCTAAAGCCGCTGTTTCTGAACGGCATCTTTGCATACACTAAAATACTATGGTACTATTTACTAGAAATACTGCTAGCTAGTTGCTAGAGTGTACATCCTTGTTGCACTCTTGACAGATATGTTGTCTTCGTGCAGGTTGCACAGGCAGTTGTTGGGTCAGGTTCTGATACCAATCCTAGCATGGTGATGTCTGTGAGGTGGGAGAAGCCTTTCACTGTTCTGTCAGTGGTAATAGTAGTAGCCTTCTTGTTGCAATCCTTTAAAGCCTCTCAAACTTGGAACATTTATCTTGTAATTGTGGAAAGCCTTCCTTGCGAAGGGTCCTCCAGCAGTGGTCATTTGGGTTCCTGAGAGTGACTGGTCAATAGAATTAACTGATCTCCGGGGTTTTGTGCTCCTGGAAGCAAGTTGAAGGAAATGTTGGTGTGATGACTTTCATTCTGGAGAAACTGCATCTCGTCTCATCTAGAATGTCAAGAAGTGCTGTGCCTGATTTCAGCAGATGAAGACGAACTGCTCTAGCAATGTCATCGGAAAGAACGTGGCACAGACACCAGCTCTTCAGCTTGCTTTTCTTGGGGTATGACTTCAGAGATGGACTGAGTGCAGCAACTGAGGCTGTTGGAGCAAGCCGTTGCCAGCCGTGGCAACATTGGGAGAAGCACTTTCTGGGAATTGTTAATCTTTTTTTTTGAGCTTTGAAGGTTTGTTATTTTTTATTTTTATTAAGGATAATTCTACTTCTTGCTTTATAGGGAGTAATTCTGAGAGAAAGTTTGTATGTCTCAAGTGTCATATCATACCTTTATGTGTTGTGCAGCACCTTTTAGCTATCTGATCTTGTGGGATGACTTTTTTTCCCTCAATATAATGCAAAAAGAATGAGGTAGGACTTATTTTATAGTGATCATATTATTTCTGATGTAGTTTTTGCCTTTTACTATGAAAATAATATTACAATAACCTTCAAGACATTTAATTTTTTTGTTAAAGATAAGGCAGTTAAACATCCTAAATGGAAGTAAAAGTGGAATTAAGTGGATAGTGCAAAATTACGACTCACATTGAATTATTATGTAGTTGTTTCAAAGGTATCACTAGGAGTCACTCAGCTTTTTACTGTGTAACCTCATTAAAGTGGGAAAGGTTTTACTGATATTACTGAATGTGGAATACAAGTTAAATTGAGTTTATGGTACAGTTTAGATTAATGAATTGAGTTTAGGACTTGATCTCTTTTTAGGACTATAGCCAGCACTACAAATCATCAGCCTGTTATTGGAGAAGCAGCATTTTCTTTGTGTTCTACTCTCTCAGTCTTCCTATTCCGTTTCAAGAATATGGCAGGATTAAGTGACTGTTTTGCTTTCTACAAGGGTGTTTAACTGAAAAGCTGCCTGCTGACAGCTGTTAAAGGATGTGAGATGGTAAAACCTTTCTGGAGTACTCCATAACAGAAGATCCAAATCAGTGGATTTCTCAGTGAAATATTTCTTCCCACTCAGTTCAGCACTTACCTAGCTGGTATCCAGAGAAGTTCTATGTCCTGAATCTCTTCAGTGACATCCACTGCTTCATTAAAACCATGGACACTCTAGTCCAGGTCTCTTTAGGATAGTCCCTGACTCCTGTTGTCCTTGACAGGAAAGACACTGTTTTGAAACTGTATACATTGAGTACCTTTCTTAGTTCTTGTTAAGAAGAGTAATATGTAATATTAAGTTGCTTCAAGACAGACTGCTTTCTGACTATGAAACGATGTACTGTAATTATACAGACACTAAATGAGTCTAGATTTGCTTTACCTGCTACTACTCCTTTCTTGGCTCATGAGTGCATCTTCCTTAAGCAATGACTGCAGTGTAGCACTAGCAACAGTATTTGTTCTGTTTGCAGTGAAAATAGTACAGCAAGCTTCAGTTCAACTCATGTAGTACATATTGCCTCATTGATTTGTTAGTGATTATGGTACTGTATTGCCTAGTACATGTTATTAAAATAGAACTGATCACAAAAGTATTATTTCTCTAATAATTTCACTGTGCTGTGTGTTGGGGTTTTTTATGTGTAATATTAGGATAGCTTGTAGATTCCCTTGGATTTGTAAAAATCATTGTCCTGTGTACTTCTGTTTGTACAAGAAAAAAATTCTGAAAGCTCTTTTAAACTTTCTAATCTCCCAGTAGTTTCAAGTGGTCTCTCTGCACTTATTCCAAGTGGGATTAATCCCTTGCAAAGATGAATGATAAGAATTGAAAATAATATTTTAGATGAGATTTAATCAGTACCTTGCATGAGAGCACTGTTACCCTATCCCAACTAGATGCATTTTGTGTGTGTGTACAGATTCCTAGGACTTGGAATAAGCCACAAATTTGCTCTTTCATTTATTTATTGTTTGGATTTTTTATACTTGTTCCTCCTTTGTGGAGAGAGATCTTTCTGAAGCTTTCAGTTTTCTGCTTGTTTTGAGTTGTTGAGTTACTGCAGTTCAGTGAGTGGACATTAACTATACGTTTTCATAATTAATTCAGAAAGCACACTGTCTTGATAAAGTTTCTTAGAAATATCAAACCAAATGAGAATTGCTGTTGAACATATTAAGTTAATTTCAGCATCTCCTATCAAAGAGTTTTCCTCTTTTGGTTAAGAGATGTTTGTACTTGAAATCTGTTGTATGGCTCCTGAAAGCTTCTTGCACATCTTTTAAGCCTTTTTTTTTTTTTTTTCTTTTTTCTTTTAATACCAGCTTTTAAACATACAGTTTGGCTTCAGGTTGCTCTTTGAGAGGCATTCTCTTAGCAGCCATGCCAGCTTATGCAGCCTCTGCTACTTGATGCTGCATCCTTAATTGTGCTAGTAAAACTGCTTATGTAGCTGCTTGTTAAAGTGGATCAGGGAACTGAACTTGGTTAGGAATAGTCAAACTTAGTTTCTTTTTTGCCTTGCTGCTTTTAACCTGGATCATTTCAATGAGCAGCTTTGCTGAATGGCCTGCAGTCATACTGATGCAAATGGATGGATAATATTATGATAGGAATGAAAGATGGAAAAAATGGAACTGCTTAAGGCTTTCTTGTAGCAGCTTATAAGAGAAAAAAAACCAAACCCCTACCCAACAGCAAAGTAACTCACCACAATTCGTTTTTTAAATAGGGCTCTTCACTTACCTATTTAGAAAAATGTCTGTTAGACAAAAAGAATACTCGAAGTGCTATAAATTTGTATAAAGGTAGAATCTTCTCTCCCAAACTCCCCAACAAATGAAATAGCTTTGTAGCAACTTAGATTTTTCCAGACTTGTTGGTTGTGTAGACTCAAGGTCTTTTCCACTCGATAGTAGTGGAGAGTGTTTATAGGTTTAGTAATCCTATGTTAAATGCATGAATAGTTATTGGAGTTCTGTTTAAGTCATCCCAAGTGCCATATAATCCAAGAACATGAGAGTATTCAGGGTGCTAGGGCTAAGGAATGACCTGATTGCTGTCTGTAACTATGCAAATAGAGATTACAGACAAGGTGGAACTAGACTCTTTCAGAGGTGCCTAGTGATAGGATGAAAGATGTGTATATAAGCTAGATGGGCTTCAGTTATTATTCTGTGGTTTTATACATCCAGGAACACCGATGGCAGAAGGAAAATTGCTCTCCCTTGCTTTTCAAGTTAAAAGAATACAGTATGCAACTGGAATGTCCTTTTAGTGTTGCTTATTTTGTTCATCTGCTAACTTATTTTTACTGAAGCTGTATTAATATGTCAGAATGATGTTTCAGTGTACTACATATCTGACTGGATATTTTTTTTCCTTCAGCAAATTTGACAGGCCATGCAGAGAAAGTTGGCATTGAAAACTTTGAACTCCTGAAAGTTCTTGGAACAGGGGGTAAGATGCACTATATTTTTGTTTTCTAGCTGAGGTTTTGGTGATTGTAATATTCTTTAGGAAGATATATCACTTCTGTATGCATACCCTAATTTTCTTCACTTTTTTACTCACAAATATTGTGCAAAATTGGAGGTCACGTTCTAGCTTACAACACTTTTGAAGATGCACTTTTTCAAAAAAATGGAAAACAAATGGCTTGAGATTTGTGACAATTTAATACAGTTTGTGAAAAGTATGATCTAAGTTAAAGCATGATCTTGATAATTTCATTAAATTTTCAGACTATGTTTTCATTAATTTCTGGAAAAAAACAGTAATGTTAGTACATTAATGAAGAGGATGCTCCACTCTTTAACTGTATGTTTTAGAGTTGCCCTATTCAAATACCAGTAATTTTTAAGATGGAAAATTTTCACTGTTGTATAGTGGATTTCAGCACAATGTTGGAGATTGGTATGTTGTAGGATTGCTGACTGTAGCCAACAAAAGAGCTTTGTCTCTCCTTTGTTAAAGGGACACACACACACAGGCCTGTACACAGACTAAAAGTAATTACTCTTATAATTCTTAGTGTGTTTACGCATTTTTTTGTCAGTATTAACATCAGATGCAGTGTTGAGTAGATTGGGATAATCATGAAGATGGACTATCATCAAGGTCTGTAGAAGTTATAAGTTAGTTATGATATTAAATTTTGGGTGTTACCAGCCATTACTGGCTAGCAGTGAGGCTGTAGTTGCACAAGCTGCTACATCACTAAAAAGAGCAAAGGGTTTTGATTTTCACATGTAGCTGTCATACAGATTATTTCATAAATTCATTAAGCCATTAAATCACTTGAGGGTGTATTTTTTTTCTGTTTCTGAAGTAATTTTTTTAAAATTTAAATTTAACAGGCTTAAAAATTCAACCCTTGCTGTTAAATTTCAGTAGTTAGTGGTAGAAGCAAGTAGGCTTTAATATTCATAGATATATGTTGCATATTCATAGGTAGAAGCAGCTATGCTGTTCTAAAGTGGCCAGTATTAGTCTGAGTGGGGTTGACAAAAATGAAATTACTTACAATTGTGCATTTATGTGAGGATGTCTTTCTCTCTTGCTGATGGAAACATTGGTTGGGTTTTTAATTGTACATGTGTGTGTCTGTGTATATATGAAAACTAGTCCCATGCCTGAATTTTTTCCTTTTTCCTTGCCACTGCCGTTAGTCTGAGATCACCTTAATATTACAACTGTTGCATTTGGAATACAAAGTAAGTTTTGGTGGTTTTTTGAGTGTCAGTCTTCAAGTTAAGACTAGTAGTAGCCTCCTCCTACTGTCTTTAGGCAGTAACTCTCAAATACCCCTTTTGCTGCTGTTAAACTGTTGTCTGTCATTCATTGCTACCTTCCATGTCCTCTCTTCTTCATGAACAGATAATTTCTTTTGGCCTGGGATACTCTTAATCATAGGAGGTAGTCCTTAAGCTCATAATGCAAAGCAATCCTATTCACTCAGGTTAACAGGGTAATTTTGATTAGTGACCCCTTTCAGAAAAGGCTTCTTCAGTGGGTTGACAATGGGATTGACAGTGTGTATTTGTGAAGGAAAAAAAAAAAAAAGCTGAGGAAGTGTGCTTGTCTGTCTTCATCCTGCTCTAGGAGTCACATTGCTCCAGAAACATCTGTCTTGGTAGACTTCAAACTATTTCAAGAACTGACTAAAAGATTCCTGCAAACTTTAGGAATCCAAGGATACCTTGGGTATCCTGGAATGGCATTTGTAGGAAGAGTAGTATTTTTTTTATATGAAGGAAATGCTAGTTGCGCTTTTTTAATACGTAATTTCAGTCATAGGCTGAGGTTCTTGCTTCGGAAATCTAAATCATCAGGGCAGTCAAAAAGCTTTATTCAGTCTTAAGTGTATCACAGTTATGACTAGTGCACTAGGTATGTCAGAGGTTGTTGCTTGCCAATTACTGGACAGTGTTAAATGCAAATGACCTGATCAGAATGGAGCTAGTTCTGTTTGTTTTTGGGGAAGTGACCATCTGTGAATTGTCAGTGTTTGCAGTAACATGGAATTGCTGAAAACAGTACTGGAATGGACTTGAAGTCCTCTAATCACTTGGCCCAAGACAGTGTCAGTTACACCTGCATCACCCCTGACAATGATTCTTTTTTAAAAGCCTTCAGTAGTAGAGATTCTGCAGCCTTCCTAGATGTTCTTGCTAAGGATGTTTAATTTCCTAGCTTGAGAAGCATTCTGGGGATTGCAATAAGCAAAAATCCCTCTCATTCTTACAGGAGGTTTCTGAAAGAACATTATTTCACGATAGGATACACCTGTGCTAAGGTGTTTCTTCTGTAAATATCATCCAACAAGATTTTGATGCAGCTTTGAACACACCACCACCTTCACTTCCGTGTACTTCTAATTGTTACGGTCAGAAGAGTTGCTGTGTCCTTTTCATTGACATGAAAGAGCAGAACAGAAACTGAAGCAAGATATTGGCCATTTGGCTAAGATGATCATGAAACGTTATACTGTGAAACAAATTTTTGTGAGTATTGGGCCTACTGTTACAGAACCACAGAAAACTTGTACAAATTGACTCTGGTGCTGTTAGTTTAATAACATTCAACCCCCTTTGTAAAAACTTAGTTTTTAGGAGGTTCTAGAACTACCTTGTCAATAACAAGAATTACTCTGCAAGCACTCCATCTTAAGTATGGAAAACCAACTTAAATGCTGTAGACCTTGCGGTATCTGCTGCATGTCAAAAGTCTGGGGCTAAGCATTCAGTTATTTAGCTGTCTTACTGTATGTTTTTCCTGTGTGATGTACCTTGTTTTTTTCTCCATGACTTCCATAGCAGAGAGACCTTTTTTCAAAAACTTCATAAGACTCTAACCACCTGTTTGCATGCAAACTTTGCTACAAGATCTTAAGTGTGTTGTGTCATGAGTTGTAGGGCCCTGTTTAGGCCTGCAACTTCTTGTTCTCATAATTGAATTGAGGTTTGATGAGCGAGTATGACCAAGCTGACTTCTCAGTTCTTTGTACCAGAATATGTGTTTACTTGGGGGAATGAGAAGAAGCATAAAGAAAACTGTCTATAATCACAATAACGTCAAAAATATTTGGAATAGCAGGCTTGTATTGCAGACTTGTCTTAAATGATAGTGTACAAGAGTAAGGCCTCATTTAGGACTTTTGCTCTCTTGTACAAAACTACTCGTCTGCATTTCAGTTGTCGTCCTTAGGACTGCTCTCACAAAAAATGAGGAAAAAGTTCAGAAGATATTTGCATGCCTTCCGTATTGATAAGCAAGAGTCTGAATTATCTTGTTCTGTAGTTTTTATTCTATTAGAATAAGAAAGGAAGATATTTTCTTCTATGTATACTTGGCAATGTAATTATGGTGAAGCTAGATGACATCCCTCTAAAGAGTAACTGTCTGTTGGCTAGGTTGCAAGTTGCAGGTGCTTATTAGATGCCTTTTACCTTTCAGCCAGAAAAAAAAAAGTAATTTCATTATTTCAGAAATCTGAAGTAATTCAAGTATTTTCAAGTGGGGGGTGTGTGTGTGGGTGTTTTGTTGTTTTTTGTTTTTCTTTCCTTTTTTCATTTGTTTTTAATCAGGGTCTGTGGGGAAGGCAGGGTGATTGCTGGAACCTGGAGGCTTCCCCAAACAACCATCGTATCTCCATTAGTGACTTGCCCCCAAATTATGGGCAGGATGATAAGAGAGAACCGTGGGGGTTTTTTGTTTTGGTTTTTTTTTTCTGACAATTTTGAGAACTTCTCTGTTCTTTTACAGTAGTAAGTTCTGTGAAGCTGAAGATAGGGTTGGGGGTTGAGGTTGTCTTAGAGAAATTGATTCACAGAGGCAAAAGGCATACTATTGCTTTTTTGGGAGCAATTTAAAGAAAAAGGAGGAAGAGGGCATCTGATGGCTTCTGTTCACATGTTGCTGTGTATTTTTAGGCAAGAGCTATCTTTACTCTGGCAGTGAAAGCCTTATCCTGGTGTGAGCTTTTAGGTATTACTGATAGTACTGTAATAGAGCTAATGCTAAATAAAAGCTGTGATGCTGTTTTACAATTCTTCACTGTGGAGTTAGGCAGCATGCAAAGTGTTTTCAAACTATCTGATACTTAAATGATCTACAGTAATGCAAGGCAGAATATACCAAAACCTCACAGCCATATGAAGTGATGACTGTAGATGCTATTCTAACTAATTATAGTATTTTAAATATAGTCTGCTATGAAGCAACTGGAATAACTAAAGAAGATACTCAAAATATGTAAAATTAAATGATACCTTGCTTAAGTATATGTAATTCTGGTAGTTTCGTATAGACTTGGTGGTGCTTTTTTTCAGGTAACAGCAGTGCAGGTTTATTTAAATCTTCATTTTTAAGTCTTTTTAAAAAATAAGATAAACTTTAAGATTACTAGAAATAGTATCCTTGTGTACTGATGTTTCTCCTGTGGAAGTGGGTTTTTTTTTTTGGTAACATTTTCTTCATGGTATGGCTTAGCATAATTTCATACTTATTATTTTCTTTAATTTGCATTTCTTTCTTGCATTTGTTTGTCTGGTTTGTTCTTGTACACACACTCTCAGTTGGAAGCATGCTTGTTATGGTTTGCTTTTTGGTGTTGAAAGAGTATCATAGTATACACATTCCTCTTGTGACCTGAGTCTCACAGGAAAAGACAAGGAAGAAAAAAAATCTGAGTTAGTAGCCTTTAATCCAAGTTGGATCCTTTTACATTGCATTAAGGAGCTATTAATGGCATAAACTTCCCCACTGAAGAAATCAGTCACACTTTACATCAGTAAACCAAAATACATGACAGTATGCCACTGTTAATAAACCTATTAATAATGTACTTGTTGCTCTGAGAGCAAATTGTTGCTTACTTGACTTCTCTGACTTGCCCATGTTCTACTCGGTATATATTTTCTGAAATTCCAGTCTGTTTTTGTTTTTGCTTAAGTCCT